GCCACTTTGATTGTGCTGTTTGATTTGACTGGGATCGTGAATTTCGGTTGTAAATTGGAGCACTTTCCCAGAATTTAAAACACCTTGTGTTATAGAGCAACCTCTCAAACGGAATTTTTACTTGATCTATCCAGAAAGGATAGAATAATACTTACTTTTAGGTGTGTTCGGTAAATTTCTTATATTTCTTATCATTTTGCAATTTATTGTAATTTAGATTGATTGTTCTTGGAACAATTGTTGGTTGAATAACTGTGTGGTAATATTTGTTTAGGTAAACTTGTACATTTTTATAAATGATGAATTTTAGAACCGTTGTTACCCAATCACTTTGTTCTGATTTCGATTGCGGTGCGCGGGTGTCTTTACATCCACAGACAGTTATTCTTCACCAAACGCAGTTTGGATTTTATAGTACTGACAACGAGCTGATGCCTCCGTAATTATCACATTTGTTCAGATCTCCATTCTTCGGTATCTTGATGAGGTATACTTCTTTCCAGTTTGTCTGTGGCACTTGTTCCTCTTCCCAAATCTTATTGAATAGAAAGTGAAACATGTTCGCTGTTACTTCAATGTCTGTCTTCAGTGCTTCAGTTGGTATATTGTCAGGTCCTGTCGTCTTCCCATTCTTGAATTATATGATGGCCATCTTGATTTCCTCGGTCGTTGATGAATTGACATCCGTAGGAAGGTTTGTGTGTGTTGCTTTGATGTCCGGTGGATTCAATGGATCTGGCCTATTCAGCAGTCCCTCGAAGTATTCTATCCATCTTTTCCTCTGTTCTTGAATCTCCATGATCGTCTTTCCTTCTTTGTCCTTGACCGATCTCTCCGGTTTACTATATTTAGCTGTTATTTTTTTCGTTGTATCATATAGTTGTTTCATATTCCTTTCTCTTGCAGCTTTTTACTTTGTCGTTTGTAGTTCTGTAATATATTTATGCTTGTCGGCTTTAATGCCCCTCTTCATTTGCTTGTTTGCTTCTGTGTAATCTGCATGTGCTTTGACTTTCTCTGCTCGTGTTCAACTGTTGTTAATTGTTATTTTCTTGTTCTTACTTTCTCCAATCTTGTCCAAGGTTCCCATAGAGATCCATTCCTAATGATGATGCTTCTTAGGACTCAGAACCTCCTGACATGTTGAAGTTAATGCTTTTCTGATCCCTCTGCAGTTGTCCTCCATTGTAGTTTCGTGTTCTTTTAGTAGATCCTGTGGAGCTTGGAACCTGTTGTTGAGAGTAATCTTGAATTCATTGAGCTTGTTGGTATCTTGAAAGAAGTCTGTATTGAATCTTTATAGTGCTGATTGTCCAGTTGTCCAGTGTTTCTCTGGCTTCAGTCTGTTCTTGGCCACAACCACGTGGTGATCTGAAACTATGTTAGCTCCTCTCCTGGTTCTCACGTCTTCTATTGTCCTTCGGAATTTTTTGTTGATACAAATATGATGTATCTGGTTCTCTGTGGCGTGGTCCGGTGAGATCCATGTAGCTTTGTGTATGCGTTTGTGTGGGAATATTGTGCCGCCTATAACTAATTTGTTGAATGCACATAAATTTACAAATCTCTCCCCATTTTCATTTCTCTCTCCTAATCCATGTTATCCAACTATATCTTCATATTCTGTGTTGTCCACTCCGACTTTAGCATTTAGATCTCCCATCAGGATGGTCAGGTCCTTTCTTGATCACTTAGCTATAATTGATTGCAGCCTCTCTTCCGTACCTAACCCTTGTTTTCCAGCTTGTGTTCAAAGGGTTTCCCTGATTCCAAGTACTGCCAAGTTGTATTTCCTCATTTCTGTTGCAATTTGACTTGTCTTCCCTGTGACCCCATTGTCCTGACGTTCCATGTACCTATAAATAGTGTTGCTCTGGTTCTTAGAAGGTGCATTGGCCTCGTGACTTCCGAAAGCTCTCGGCCTTCATCATGAGGCATCATAATTATTTCTTGATCTCGGAGGGCAGAGTTTAAACGGTTTGAATTATTTCTTCTGTCTAGCGTTTTTAGCGAGTTAGTTTATGGAGAGTACACGATTGTGGTGATGGTAACATTTATTATTATAACCAACTGTGCTTTACTGTGCCTTTTTTTAATTATATCAAAAACACTTTTCCGATGTTTGTGACCTTGAAATTACTCACGCACACACGGTAGTCTTGCTTGTAAACTTTAGCACGATCTTGGTATTATTTCGATACACCGAAATCACCAACAAACATATCCGAATTACAATCAACAACTGTCCTTCTAATATTTATCTTACTGAGGTATTTAACCCGGTGATCGGCACGTAATTGGTATGTAGTGATCATAGCTAATTGCGACTCCACACTAACACATGTCTATAAAGTTAAAGTGTATGTGTAAATGATTGAAAGGCTGCATTTCCTAAGTAGACCTCGCCGATGTCGAATTATGGTCTGTTTCATTATTCTGAGCCATGTCTGGGCTAGTATTAGGAAACTGAAATTCCTATGCCCAGGAAGTCATCAGGGTGCGAAAACATCTACCCTATAATCCAGAAAAAGTGCTCGGTAGCAATCACTTCACTAACGTTTGACATTTGGGGCACTAATAATCGTCAAATCAACTGCTAGAAGAAAGGAAATAGGCCGTTCTTCTCAATCTCCAGAGAGAAGAGTGAAAAAGATGCAACTTTCCATAAACACGTCGCATCACTCCCAATACCGTATGTGAGGCCAGTGTAATGTCCTCGAGCCCTAACCATATCATCTGGCATTCGGATCACTAAATGTTGAACCGTTCATCTATCCTCATCAGGTTCGAGGACAACCAACGCGCATTAATTGACCGGTCGCCATGGACTGACTTATGCGGTGGTGCTCGTAATCTCTTCATTGTACCTACTCTTACCAGGATATTTTTCCTCAATAACGTCCTTTATATTATACGGGCTTCAAAGCAGCCATAGTACCATGATACATTGAAGGAGTAAACCTCAGTAGGTGCTGACCGCGAGGTGTGACTTCGAAGTTAACCGGTTCGTCACACCATTACCGTCTAATTCGACTAGGCCCCCAGCCATTCGACAAAGATCATCTAAGTTGGTGATTTACACGTTGAAAGCAACTCAAGGATTGGTCAGTCGACAAATGAAGAAACACAAGGACGAAAATTACATCTTACATGAGGCCCAACACGGGTCTGAGAAAGGCACGTCCTGTGTGCCCAAACTCCTCACAGCATGGAACTACTTGGCGACCTGTTGAGACTAGAAGTTACTGGTCCAAAAAATTATTCCTTGACTTTTCAAAGACTTTGACACAGCACCACGCTCACTCCTCAGAGTGAAGGTAACAAAGGAGGGTTTCAGTGACACGTGTGTGTATTGACTGCCATACTACATGATGTTTTGTACCAAAGTGTACAGAGTGCACTAGAGCTAGTGAGTCTCAAAACTAGTAGTTTCACAGTAGCCAGTCTTATGTCTACCGCTGTTTCCTACTCTCAATAGTGACATTTAGGTTAAAATTAGATTAATTCACATGTCTGTGCAGGTCTGGAGGTTCATATAAATTTTAAAATATTGACTTGAGCTTCAAACGAACCTTACAACGATAAAGGAATGGAAAGTAGACAATGGGGTAAAACCTAGCCTTTCGATATGTCACATCACTAACATTCTGCATCACTTGACGCAAAGGGTTTTTTCCTTGGAAATCCGCTTACAAGTTTTTTCTGTGCTCTCTATATGCACTCTCTGTTCTTCCTCATTCCAACCTTGACTTCCCTCCTTCATTGGAACCTACTCCACCTTGATAAATATCACAACTCATTGTTCTTTATTACTGCCTTCTCTTCTCTGGAGCCCCTAATCGTAGTTCACTCTTGCAACATGAGCTGGTATCAATTTATTCTAATAATATTTCATACCGCCATCTGTTCCACTAATAAATGTTAAGCATTGGTTATCGTTCATATCCAAACGCCTTGCTGCTCCTCGGTTTCTTTTTCTTTTTTTTCTTTAGAATCTTGCTCTGAGGGTGAAGCTATGTAACTTCGGACATCTGGAACAAGCTCGACGAACGCGCTTCCCCAAGGTCATAGCTCGAACCAGGCGCTCCACAAGCCTACTTTATAACAACAATAAACTTAAAAAGCTGCATTACATAAATGCTTAGCACGACCGAAACCCTATTATACTTTTTGTCGAGATCGGATCTGGTATGTAACGTGGACGCTATGCCCCTTTGGAAATATATTCTTATGAAAACACATTATATCTGAACGAATGAACTGCTATCAACTTTTATAGATTATAATTACTAAACATTACTAAGCATACTGTGAACCAGTATATGTTGTAAATTATAGATCATCCCTGTAAAAATGGCGTGTACCTGCTATTGCAGAAATATATTATTATTATTAAGAGTTACCACCATTCCGAATGCTTTCCCAGCAGCGATGAACACATCCCTCTCAGTTGACAGTCCGAAAAACAGATTTGATAAACACGTACTCACTGATGGATTACCACCTCCGGCTTGAAACAGCTGTCTCTGATCTATGTCTCACAATTAATCTACTGTTATCATTACGCCAAACTTTCTGTCTTCTTCCAGTGTATGTATTACCAATTAATTAATTTATTATTACTCAAAACTATCACCTTGTAAGATCCTCAACGTTGATGATCTTTGTTGGTGTGTTTGGGGGCCTACTATAGTTAGACGAGAATGGTGACGAATCAACTAACGCTGAAGTCACACCTCGCGACCGGCCCTTACGTGGTTTGAACCATCGACGCATCAAAGGATCATGGACGCTATGGAGACAGTACAGCACAAAGGACGTTATTACAAGAATATATTAGTTAAGGTACAACCACTAAAGCACAGAAGTGAAAGAACACCCACTGCCGCGTGGGCCAGTCCATGGCATATACTTGATTGATGCGCATTGACTATCCTTGACCTTGACAGGGATCAATGATCTGTTCGATATTTAGCACTTGAACTACCACATTATTTTTCAAATTGCAATCAACCAACCTCCTACCTGATAATGCTGTAGCTGCTGGCTCCAGAAGCCCTTCTGCTTGGAGAAAACTGGACTCACTCGAATTAAATAGTGTATAAATTTATAGAAAACTATCAATCAGACTCAAATTGGTGCGGGCGAATAGCTAGATTACCACACATTAGACATTATTAAATATTTAAAACCTTATCAAAACAAAAAGAAATGAGCCAAAAGAGATCGACCGATTTATACAAGCTTGGGAGAGAGACACTAAGTATTGAATATTGGATTGTAGTGGTCCAAACAAGCATTCCGGAAAAGTTAAGTGTCACGTTACGGTACATGGAAGCGTTGAAGTTGTCGGAGTCGGAAGTCAACTTCTACTTCAGTGCTTTCGATAGCTGTGATGTCGAAAAAAGTGGGAAGCTACCAACGGAGTGTGTAAGAAAATTTTTGTCCCGCTTCGCTATTTCGGATGTCTTGATAAACGATGTAATTATCCCGTAACATAATTTTGAGACTCTAGATTGTACAATTATCAAGTCCATCTCCCTGTGGCTTGTGGGGACGGGTAAATTTCTTCACGGCACTAAAGTACGTTTCCCTCGCTCAGAGTGGAATTCCGATGTCTAGAAATGAGTTAATCAGAAACAGTATATTGAATTCACTAATTGCTCATGCTTATAGGAGAAAGTCTCCCCCTCCCAGCATATCGTGATATATGTGTACCGTTAATGGAAAACGATGTGCCCACAGGAGAGCATTCTTCACACGGTCCTGTAAGTTGTGGCTTTGTTATCTTGTCTTATGATTAATACAGGCCTCCGCTGGTGATTATTCCAATGTAGACAAACAGTTTAATGGACGTATTTCTCAAAAATTGAGGCCTAAAGAGAATCAAACAACTCTAAATAACAGTGTTTTGAGAGACAGTGCTGAAGAGTCATGTTTTTCTTCATGGCCCAAGTGTTACGACGAAGAGCAAAGTATGTTTCTTGGATTTCCATAAACTTTGAGATTTCTGTACCTCTATCATGGTTTTAATCGAACCAACACCTATTATGTTATGGTGTGGCGAACCATTACAGTCACTTAAATGCCAGCCTGGAGTTAGTGCAAAGTCTTCACAAAGTTAAAAGAATAAATCTAGTAAGTACGTGGACTCTCCGCAGGACACATCATATCAGCTAATGAAAATATTGTTTTCATGATTAAAAAACAGCAGATCTCAACAATGAGGGAAGGTATCAAACCACAAGTTCAGTTTCAAGAATATTGACTGAGTAACTTCAAAGTCAATCAGTCAGTCAGCGACAACGTAAGGGTACGACATCATAAAGATGCCCTAAAATGAAACTTACAACTCATTATGAAAACACTAGTTTTGTTAAAAAGTCAACAAGCTTTTGAATCCATTGTAAAGACCAACTATTTCGGCTTATGTCTTACAGTGATGTTTCGACATAGATTTTTGTACAGCTCTCTAAATTCTGAAGGTGGTGTATTAGTATGCTACCTGTTTCAGAAACTTGGTTTCGCTAACTACAGTAATTCACTAGTGATCATTGGCTTTACTGGGCATTGATACTCAAGCTACCCGAATCGCATTTAACTACTTAAGAATTAGTGACTACAAGTACAGGATTTACTTTATACTCTTAAATTCAGTCGTTCTGGAAGGCTGTGAGGGGCTTGTCCGTACACTTTCTCTTCGCAGCAAGTCGTTAGAAATAGTCGGGACATTCTTTTGTTTGGCTAGTTAAGTGATTGCTAGTAGTAACATGGAAGTTAAGGTAAATATATGTATAATAAAAGCTAGGGCAATTTATGTTAATTAGGCTAGTCTTTAATGTCATGTAGTCTGTAAAGGATTGATATCCCATTGAAACACCGTGTTGCTAATCTCGAGATCGGGCAGTGTCTTTGGACGTGATGACTACAGTTCGTTTGGTATCATCCCAAAACATCAACTTTGATCTCTCCGATGTGTTTTTCAAATGTTATCTTAAAGACTTACACTATTTATTATATCCATATTCTGTAATTGGGTGGTAAAAACGGAGATATCTTCAGTACCGTATTGTGTTGTGTTATGAAGTGAAACCATAATACGTATATCATTTCATCATGGCCTCTCAGTCAAAGTCTCAGAAACATTGGAACTTAATAGTTTAAGTAGTTATCGGATATTGCTCAACTAGAACCAGTGGTGAATCCTACTATAATTTTCGACTACAGTCTTCAGAAAGGTGAGACGAACCATCAGATTATCCAGAGTTTTGCCATTTCATATTGTGTTTGTCACTCATGTATGAACTCAAATCAGTTTCATTACGAAACCACCTGCTTCGGTCTGGGCACCCGGGCAGTATCATTGTCCTCACACAATTATAATAAAGTGACGATTTTTCGTGTGGCGCATATATATTTTTAGTGCCCCCTTGTACCAATATTTATGTGTTCAAACAAATAAATAAACCATTATGACCAAGTATCGAGACTATGACTGTTTTTAAAGTATCTTTGTGTTTAGTAATGTCTTACTGTCTACTACTCTGATTCCTAATGTTTGTAGTCTTATTGTTTTACTTGTAATATCTCAGTTCAGACAGATGATCTGACTTAATTTTCAATCGAGCGTAAAAATCTATTTGCTGATATATTAAAATACCACTTTGCGTCCGCTAGTAATTAAAAAACTGATACATGTTATATCCTAGTAAAGACATAAGCACGGGTAACTTCCGGGACCTATTGATGGACCATTATTCTTTATATTTTCTTATAGTTTAACTATTGAGTAATTATATATATATATATATATATATATATATATATATATATATATATATATATTCATATTATAAGCCTCATTTTAATCAATTTGTTATGAATTTAAAAAAGGTCGTCGGCAGTTTGTTATTATTTTATGTCCGGCTTTTATCAGTTGATTTCATTGTATTATACTCCTTCAATAACATCTTCAAACCCTAATCTTCCACATTAATGCTTATACTCTTACTACTTTTACCAATATGGGATTTGAATGGACAACTTCATCTCTGTGCTAATGTGGTATGGCGACTCGAACTGATGTACGTACGTACGAAGTTCTACGTTGTAACTGACTGAGTTGATTTAGCCACCAGTCGGAATACAACTGTGCCAAACCAATGACATTCGACCGGTGTGAGCAGTCTAGTGTCCTTATTGGTCCTATATCAGCCTAGCCCTTCCTGTTGAGTCCAGAACATCAATAACAGCTTCTGTTATGCGAATCATTTATTTCAAGCATACCTGGTTTATATACCAGACAAACACCACATCGCACCATAAAATAGGAAAAAAAACACTTGTACAAGACCAAGCTGAATGTGGCCGTGAACTTGGGAGACGGTAATCAATAAACTGAATATAATTTAGGGAAAGTAATTCGCATAATAATAATCCATATGTCAAAATGAAGCTTATAATAAGATGAATATAGATATGCACAATCTAGTTACTCAATAGATAAACAATAAGAATTTATATAGAATAATAGTCCATTGATAGGTCCTGGAAGTTACTCGTGCTTATGTCTTCACTAGGATATAACAATACGTTTTTTTCACTAAGCTAATAACCACAAGCTCCAACTTCAGTGAAAATAAACGAAAATCTTTGTTCACTAAATTGAGACTAGAATCTAGGTTTGTTCGAAGGATTCATTGATAGAAATCCAAGAAGATTATTACTCATTGGAATACATCCATTTATGCAGGGATCTGCCCACTGATTATTAAGTGGATAATTTGTCACGAAAATAACACTGTTTCAATAAAACTTGCACTGAAATAATGTAAGTCAACTGAACAAAAATTATTCTCAGTACATAATTTCATACTTAGTCTCTCTCTAATGAATTTACTATACCCAAAACCGTTTACAACTGTTTAAAGTACTTTAGTAATAATGTTCATCAATGATTAAGCACGGGTTGTTTTGTTCAACTTCAAACTAAGAACTTTGTACGGAGGTTAATAATACTTCGTGATTACCCAAACCAAAGTAGTGGAGTCGAAGTTCAAATCACAAAGCCAAGGATTAAAATTTGAGCACCGTAAACACCAAACCATTGTTGGAGAATCCTCATCTTTTCAAACAAGTCTCTGTAAGGCTTCACGGTCGTTTACTGATTTAAAAGAACGTAAAGTTTTTTCTTTCCTTCTTTGTTCACACGATATCACAATAATCGTAAGTATAACTAACGTGAGTCTTGGAAGAACAGATTAGCTATACCTATTGTTGGGATGACCCTGCATTTTTCTCGCAAGCGACATAACAAGCTCAGGGGTCATCAAGGAGCATTTCAACCAATCAGCGATTAATTAGAAGTTATGTGAAGTTATGTTACTAAAATAACGAAAATGGAAAAGTCACATGTGGAGATCCTGATTGGCTGATTCTAGAACTTTCAGTAAAACTCAAGGACTCTTAAATTACTATAAAATCCCCATATTTTCTGTTAATAAATGAACCCTGTAGTAAAGTGCTTCCCTCACACTTTGTGCCTTTTCTCTGGTCTTCAAGTCGGTGTATAGTTCTAGCTCGGGGGTACGGAACTAGCTTAGGGAAGCGAATATAGCGTTCACAATCGGCCAGACGTAACACCTATTGTCTCGATCTTGAAAGGCTACTTATATAAACTAAAAACTTGGGATTGGTGGGAATGTATTTTCGACTTTCTGTTGATAAAAATTCTTCATCTAATTACTCATGAATCGCAGTCAGTGGCACAATCATACACAAGATATGGCTTGGCAATTATTTCCATCATTTAAAGTTACTACATCATATAAGCCTGGCGAGATGGAATAATCTGGACAAATTACATCTGTATAGTTAGTAACAGTATCAGTGGAAAGCTCGTAAACTACTGATTGCTGTAAAGGTGCTTCCTGCATTAGAATTTATATTCCCAGATGATCGATAATTTGTTGATATAATTCCAACTATTTATTACTTTCTAGAAGTTCGCTAATTACATTCTTTCAAACTAAACTGAATAATAATTAACTTATTTTGCAGTACAGTGATTGTATCGGTATGAAGCAATGTACTTCCAAACAGCAGGTCATCACTAGAAGCTCCACTCCACCTAGTGGGGCTTCAGCATATCAGTACTATCTTTAGACTATGTACAACCAATGTATCATAATCCAGGAAAAAACGTTTTTCACACTTATTATTATGTTGACATCCACTGATATTGTCAACAGGATTCAGACCAGATTAAATCATATTCCGTACAATATTATGTTGGAGCCCACTATGTCGCCAGATTTTCAGCCTACCAGCGCTAGTAGAAAAACGAAAAAAGATATAAGTTAGGCCACCATTAAAAACCTGGAAGCACTAGACGGCCAGTTCGTCTTAATATAGGACGAAACCGTGGTCTAGCTTAGATTGACTCATGAATTCAACTAATAAAAGTACTACAATCTCCACAGACCCTCATTTTGATAATAAATAAAAAGGACTACAATCTTTTTGCATAAAAATTTTAAACATTTTTCTTATTATATCAACGAAGTAAACTTGCTGTTTTGTTTTGGAATATAATTACGTCCCTGTAAAACCGTGTTCGATTTGGGAAGTAGTCGAATATACTGTGCAAGGAATACTAATCAATAAAATTAACTGGGTCGAATAAACAAAATATATTCTATATGCACGAATCTATTTAAGAAGTGGTTGATAATTTGTTGACCACTATGCAAATTCTGCATAGCTAGCGATCTTTCTCTTGAGAAACTGACTTGCAGTGTAAGATATATACCAAATCTAACACATACAAGAAACAAAATCATTTGTAAAACAGGACGTTGAAATATTTTTACCTCAAATATATGGTCTACAATGCGAGACAATAGAATGGTGATAATCTCTTTATTCAATCCCATGTTTAATTATGGTAAAGATACTCAGCACATAATATACAATATTATGAGAACTCTTTGTTTTCAGCTCCTAAATACTATATATATAAAGCTTCTAAATAGGGGTTCATCCACAAATGTCTACGACCATTATAGTTTCAGTGATATCTCTTCGTTGTACAGTGTATTTGCTGTTAGGATTGTCATGGTGGTTCTCTTTTCTTTCTCTGAAGGACAGATGAGTAGAAAGATATATCAGACGCTCGTGGTTCCCCCTGAATTTCTGCGTAATGTGATCCACTATAGATTGTATATATTAAAGAAAGCTTATAGGTGTGTGGCTACCATGTATAATTAGTGAACGAAAATAAACGTAAAGCAAGAAAACTTATGGTAATAAGTGTACACTCCAAAGGCAGGTTACTTGAAATGTCGATCAGAACCGTTGTAGGCCACATCACATACTTGTTCTCGCTCGCAAATGCCCTGGTACGGCCGAGAATCCGCCCTCCCTCTTTAAATCCTCTCACGTGGCCACGTGCATAAAACCACTGTCAGGGAAGCCCAACTCACTGCCTTCTCGTGGCTGGGGTGTTGTTTACGAAATTGAGAGAACGAAAAGCAAATGTCCGTCATTTTAACCGGGTTGGTGAATACGGAGGATCCACCTAGGGGAGTTGGAAAACCTTCATTCCAAACCAATGGTTCCACTATCCTGAGGGAACAAATGGCGTATGAACCAATCGTTGATGAGCGGCTATCATAAGATTGCATCTCCTTATGTTGCTTTACTGCCTTGTGGGTCAGACCCTTAGGCCAAAGGCTCCGTGTTTGGCCCCCCAAGAAAACCACCTGCTTCGATCTGGGCATCCGGGTAATATTACAGTCCTCACACAAATCGAATGGTGAAGCGTGGCGCATATATATTTGATGCCTCCATGTAACAATGTTTATGCGTTTAAATAAATAAAGGATTAGTTGTATTTTAGTGGATGGCATAAATGAACAGTTCGTGGATTAAAATTTAATGGGAGCTTTTAGCATTTTTAATGCGCCAGTCAGTTTACGAATTCTAAATAAAACAACATACGTTCCTATTGTTATGTTGTTATCTCATTTTAGTAAATTTTTTATTTTCTCAAACATTCTTGCTCGCAGGCCTGCATGTGCAACTACATTATACTGAGCAACGCATAATTTGTGGCTATGTTGCATTCATGCATCATAATTACAAGTTCCTACCAACTGCTTGACCTATAGGTTTATTGTAGGTTTTGAGATGGCCATCGATATACCAAAATGTCTGAATTTCACTCACGTAATTTAACAACCCTGGTATCTGAAACTCAATTTTTTTAATCTTATAGTTTCTATCTGTGACTATTCTATTTCTGCTAAACTTTGTTCTACGTGTCTTTTTCCCAGGTCTTTTAACGGAGGAAATTATCAAGCCTGATAATTCTGTCTCCTACGATAACGAAAACAAAACTTCCAGAAATTCTGATTGGTGGATTCCAAACAAGTCATTCCGGAAAGGAGTACATTTGAACACCGATCACTCATCGTCTCGATCTTCTGGTACCATTACTTCTCAGGACTCTAACTCGTCTACTTACTATGGAAGCACTATTGAAGATTGTAAAAATATCAAGAAATTACGTGATACTAGTGTATGGAGTTATCGAGATTTACCCGATCACTCATATGATCAGCTTAGTGAAATTCAACCAAAAGGGAGTCCTACCGACCACTGTAAGTTGATATTGTTGTGGTTGACACTGGAATTTCTGTGTTAATAACACCTGAGTTGAATACAAACCCTGAATCATACGTGTTCTTAGTTCTCATTGAATACGTTTGTAACTCGTTCTTCACTTAACTTTATTTTGATTTTGATAAAAGCCTCTTATTGTTTTTCCTTCTCGTCCCAAAATCTATGAAATATTTATCATTGTGCTACTTACTATTTACTATTAGTTTGCCATTATAAATCAGGCCCAACCCAATTCTTTTAAATCACTGTCATTGAGAGCGGCGGCTTAAAGACTGGACCGTCCGACTTTCAACCATTACTCCCCCGAGTTCAGACTTCCCCCAACCTACCTCAGTTTAGGAAGTCAAGTAGTATCGCTATCACCCACACAAAAAGTAAAAATCAAAGTCGGGTACAAAACCTCTATGTAGGCAGTAACTCCCTGATTTCAGCTTTCGTTTGTTTCATCATTTCCCATGTAATTTCAATTTATCTTTTCCATTTCTAGTAATTTTCTTCTGAAATTGCTGTAATTGATTATTCATCAATATCGTTTTTATTTTTAATATTTTCTTCTTTACATCCACTAAACCTTATCTTTATCGTATTGTAACCATTTCCAACAGCATGTAAGCGTGATGGTAAATACGTTGTTCACGAACATATTCTATTAGTTCATGCCAAAATTAATTCCTTCTAGAGTATATTAAGTGATTTTGACTACTACACTCTGAAAAGCTGTGGTTTGATTGTAAACACTACACGTCAGTGCCTTGAATATGTTGTAGTTTTATGCCAATCACCCTAATCGCGGTTAAGAGGCAATCAGAATTTAGATCTGTAAGTACATATTTCAGACTAACTATCAATTTTTGCTTTGTCCAACTGCTTATTGTCATAGACTTTTTCTAATCCGTATATTTTGTCTGAAATATTTTTAATAGCGCTGGTCTTCACTAACCCTTCGCTAAGAAAATAATGTACTTAAGGGAACTATCCAACTCAATTATCTGAACAGTTACAAAATGATGTGTAGAGTATTTTATGTATTTTACTAACTGATGTTAGTCATCACTGAGACATTGTAGTTTTATGAACACCCTATTAAGTACTAAAATATAATACAATTTATTCTACAGATAGCTTAATGAAGTGTAATGATAAAATTGCGTACTTGTAGCTTATAAACTGAGTTATTCGTACACTCAGCAATTGATACCAAGGCACATTGTTGATCACCTCTTCTGACGATATATCAAATCATGATTTAATAGAACCCTTAACATAACCTTATAGACTTTATTCGATTTCCGGTTCTCATCAGGTCCATACAACCATTAAAAAATATACAGAAAATAAATGCAATTCCCCCATAAAATGTAACACCTTGGCAGAGAAATATGCAAATTAACTGGAAATATGAGTAACACATAATCGTAAAATAAAACTAAATCTATCTGTATAATTCAGAGAAAAAGTTCTAGACGAGGTAATAGAAGATTAGAACTGAGAAAAGGGATTTCATAGATGTAACTACAATCATACAAAATGTTACAAGCCACAGTAGTAAGTACGTCTAAAAATTATATATAGTAGGAATTATTAGTCGAAACTATTGAAGTAGGATAAATAGAAATAAAAGACTTTTATTCACATCGACCAACGCACAACGAAAGTGTATAAACAAATCGTCAAGCATTATTGTAATAATCAAGGTTGAATCTAATCTTTTTGTGTATAAATTTTATTGGATTTTTGAAATCTCATTAACAAACTGAAGCAATACTAATGTTCCTTTTTTTCTATTTTGCGTTTTAACATTTTCCGTTCTCGTTAATATTACCTATGTTATACTATAAAGTGTAATAACTGAAACCACTTATTGGATTCCGTATCTTCTAAATACCGTTCTATTGACGTCACTCTGTATTCTCCGGGTGTAATAGATCATTTTCAAATAATTTAATAAATTACCTTGCATATAGACCTGAGTTACTTTTGAAGTCATGTTCGTACACAAACTCCTCTATTTCAATAATTCAAATTCAGTTAGCTCCAGTTCAAATACGTTTAAAACCTTTTTAGTTAGTACATTACCAGTTATTTTGTCGCTTACTCCATCTTTTACCAGAAGTTGCGTTTCCCACATTTTTGATGCTAAGTACTTCATCAAAACTACGTATTTTTTTCAATAACTTTTCAAGCTTTACAGAACACTGATTCTCAATGTACAAATTCTGAGGACAAATATCAATTTTCACTGAATAGTGCCAAAAAATCTGAAGTTAACAAATGGAGAGTATCACACTGTCGTAGCTCTTCATTCCCATTCTCACAATATAATAACACTTATTGTAATCGAAATGAGAAGCGTAAAGAAAAATGGTTAGCATCATTCGCATTACAATCAAAGAGAGAAGCTGAATACGCATCACAGTTTGATGAGTTCTTTATTTCGAAAGACATCGGTAGCGTTACTAATTGCCATTTGGTAGTAACACGCTCGGAAGTAACGCAATTATTTACAGCTCAATATAAAATCTCGTCAGTTGATTTCGACAATATTTGGTAAGCAGTGGTTTTTATCTGATTAGAAATCTCGAAGAAAAGAACGTTTGGCCCATTTGTAATAAATAATTAATTGTTGCTCCTCAATAGCTAGGTAGAGGTTTCCGCGCTAGGCTTTTAGATACTTTCCAATTGAGAACTAGAGGTGGAAATCGTGCGCCCTAATCAGGATTTGAAATTACTATTTGGCAAAGCATCAAACATTATTTTAGCGGTTAACAAACTCGATTCTCAACTACTTGGTTACAAATTCGATCACGACAACACATACTTCTTTTTAAAAAACTGGCTGGCATCACTAGTTGCTACACGTAAAACGTGGGCTAAAGTCTAATACACAAGTCTGTACTTCGTCTGGAAGAAAGTTAAGGGTGGTCAAACCAAAAGTTGGCATCTGTCCATGAAGTCATTGACAATTGAACTGAACCATGTAAGTAGGTGTAGACCACCCTGTTAGTGGCCGCCTTTTTATCGTAAGTGAATGTCCTGCGTTTTAACCGGATTGGTGAATACGGAGGATCCACCTAGGGGAGTTGGAAAACCTTCATTCCAAACCAATGGTTCCACTATCCTGAGGGAACAAATGGCGTATGAACCAATCGTTGATGAGCGGCTATCATAAGATTGCATCTCCTTACGTTGCTTTACTGCCTTGTGGGTCAGACCCTTAGGCCAAAGGCTCCGTGTTTGGCCTCCCAAGAAAACCACCTGCTTCGATCTGGGCATCCGGGTAATATTACAGTCCTCACACAAATCGAATGGTGAAGCGTGGCGCATATATATTTGATGCCTCCATATAACAATGTCTATGTGTTTAAATAAATAAGTAATAAAAATCAGTGGTTAGAGACTTCGAGTTATATGGCTGAAAATCGTTTGCAATGGCTCAAGGGCATTCATTCTTTTTCTTACTATAAATTCTGACCTTCAGAATTCTCCATAGTTTTTTATAGTCTCACTAATTTATATTTTCTTTAGTCGTTTCTTCGATGCCTAATCTTTTCAATCACCACTAGTACTGTTGCCACCTGTGTAGTGCATGCTACTTATATTGATAGATATTCCGTAATTTTGTATAAATAATAAATTGGTTGTCCCCATCCAAGTCTCTTTCATTATACCCCTACTATTCTTGGATTTGGCCTAACAATCTTACTTCTTTGTGCTTATAGTGTATGATAACTTGAACCGATGTACATACGTACTTGGTTCTATGTTACGACTGACTAACCTGTGTTTGGAGACTCTGAGTAGCAGTTCGGGGTCGTTCGGAATGGCTCAGGCGCATTCATCCTTTGTCTTCTGTTAGATACTGAGCTCGGAATTTCTCCTTGCTTCTTTTTTTCTTCCTGGATACCTAATACTTTTACTACTACTGATACTATTATTACTTCCACTACTCTGACACCTCTCGCGATAATTTTATCTCATTGTGCTAATATGCTGTGGTAACTTGAACTAGTACATATATGTGTTTGGTCCCATGTTGCGTATGTATGACCCACTAATAACTAAGTATGATTCTGAAATATTCGATGAGTTTCATTTAAGGAAATCTGAGTATTTTTAAATGATCTTAGGGCTAGGTTGAAAAAGAGTATTGGAATGTAAATACTTTTACCATCACATCCTTATGATTAAAATGTATGCGTTATGAATAATAACTCGTTTAAAATCTTCAAATCTCAGTATTTGTTAATTATATTCGACTCTATTCTTCTTGATTATTTCAATCGCTTTACTGTTGATTAAACAAATTTAAAATGTAAGGTGTTGATATCCATTATTTGACATATTTTATTCCTGGTGGGGAAGATTTGTAGCTCAGGTGGATGATTTTGATGGAGCTCTGAGAACAAGAATCCACCCAAGTTTATTCCTGGTAAACAGAAGGATATTCAGTGAAGAAAATTTTGTTGAGAATACCTGTTATGAGTTCTCTTATTACGTCCCAGCTGCTCTTATTATTCAGTATTCTTAGACACTGCTTCATACAACAAGTCCCAAAATCAGAACATGGTTGGACAGTGACGTAATTATATCTCAAATAAACAAGGTTGAATAAAGGTAGGAATCGCAATAAGAAGAACGTTAGTATATTTATAATTTTTACACACGAAGATTCTAGAATCTTTGCCAAGTATCCGCTAGCACTGATTGGTCAAGAAAATAGCCAGTCAGCGTGCCCCGACATAATCCTGCACAGAACATAGTCTAATTAAATTTATATCCCACTAACAATACCTATTTAGTCTTGAGAAAACCTTCAATTTAACCGTAAACCAGTAGTATAGAAAATGTTTCTTATTAGCCCATTAGTATTTTAGGCATTGAATGCTAACTCTGAATTTCCATTATTACTAGCATATGGATATATGTAACTGAATCAATTTCATGTAATATTAAATATCTACCCTGATTCTCAGTGCTAACTATATTTGGAATATTTTCCTGACGATATGAGATAAGATTAAAATAACAGTTTAATGATGTAAATGTACGACAACAAATAATGTTATGTTAATACTAGATACCTCTTACAAATATTGAATGACGCTTTGTTATTTGCAGTAATGAATAATAAACTGGAGTTTCATTGGAAATATTGCATTCCTCAAACTTTTGATGTGTCCCAACCCCATCCTCAAAGGCGTCAAGGCATTCGTCGTTCAGATGAAATTCATCAAGCTTTTTTTCATGCAGCATAATCTATCTCAGCGATTTCCTACTGCTAATCATATCGATTTTCAAAGTGAGGGAAAAAAACTTTCATGCAAGTGAAAGAATAACAAATACAAAGGAAATTACATAGAACATTTTGGTCATTTTTAAAATTTGTTTATTTATCGATGTATAATTGATACTTTTTTGTTTGTGCGCTTATATTTTTTAATTAGGTTAACTGCTGATATCAATCGGGACAATTATTTAGATAAAGCTGAATTTTGTTTAGCTAGTCATTTGGCACATTTGCTTGGTCATCGTGGTTTATCATTGTATGATGCCGTTAGTGCTTGCAAACCTTATATCAGTAAAATTACTAGAAAGTTAAGAAAATATGAAGCCAAAGGTATACTTTTAGTGATTATATGCTTTTTCTGTGGGGATTTTTATGATCAGTATATTCAAAAGACTAATATATGAACGAATAATATTCTTTTCAATAAGTTCGCTTCAGGTTCTACAGTTAGATATCCAAATCGGTAATCCGAAAAGTATCCAGGTTTAAGGCACACTGTATTATTCAAATTCATAGCATGTAAATTTAGGATTACTAAACAATTTATAATTGGTAATGTTGATATCACTCATGAAATGCTAACTTGAATCAGCTTCTATGTTAAGTGAGATTTTAAGATCCATGATCTGATTGAATATGGACAAAGACGGGTATCTATCTGTTATAACGTGTGAGTTGCGTGTGTGCCCTGTTTAGTATATGAACGTCATAAAACCGTTAATAAGAGAGCCGAGAATCATCGATTGTGACAGTGACACACGAAAAACCATACGAGCAGTCTAGAGCGCTTATCAATCCTCCTTCTGCCTAGCCCAGCCAGTTAAATCCAAAACACCAATAACAGCCTCTACAATATGAATCATTATTCTCAAACATACTGGCTTTATATACCAATCAAACAGATCACATCGTACCACAAAATAGAAAATAACATTTGTACAATATGTAGCCAAATGTGGCTGTGAATAGGGGGAACAGTAATTAATGGACTAGGGATAACTCAAGAATGGTAATAGTTCATAGGTCAAATAAATCTTATGATAAGAGGAACACGAATACGAATAGTTTAGTTTCTTGACAATTATACAATAGGAAATATACATATCACATCGGTCCATAAATAGTCCTCAAAGCCAGCATTCATAATTCTCGACGGGATATAAGACTACCTTAGACAATGGATAAATGGTTGCTCAAGATCATGAATCGATTGAAGTTAGGCATTAACACCGTTGAGATGTCGGCTCAGTAGTCTAGAGGTTGAGCGTTCACATTTGATCGAATTTGTCCGAAACGTCGTAAGTTTACTGATAAGTATTACCTTCGCTGAAACTACTATGATTGTTAAGCATCCTCTATATCATTTTCACTTACATAGTGTGACAAATAATAGTTATCTGGATGTGCTGCTCACAGTATTTACTGGAATCATAACTACTCTATCACTTCCAAACAGGAACGTGAAATAGGATTTTCGTTTTAATGACTGTAAAATTTTCATATGTATAACACCATTATCATAAATTTATCGGACTACGGTACGACCAATCACAAGAAGTAACGACTTCCAATTCGAATGTGGGCTAACTCATTTTCCAGCCATTAGCAATTGTAAAGTAACTATAGAAGAAGAATAAGAAATAAGTTTAACTTCTGGTATCAGTACTGATAATAATTAAAGTAAGCAAGTTATTTTGTGGTATCCTGCAGGTGATTAAAATGGATTGAGAATTGGATACTTTGAATATCCTTATATAATGGTTCATGTAATGATAGTCTTTAACAGGCTGTGGTATGTTATATTCTGGAAATATTTATCAAAACTCTTCAAAAGGGAAGGGATAACTCAATGTTTTGAGTATTCTTAACAGTTGAGTCTGAAATATGAATCTAGTTTTATCTACTTCAATCCAGACAATCTATAGTATTATCAGTCTACTAATTCTTTCATTACCAATTATGCAAACCTCAATTGGGTTATAAAGTCGCTCCAAACGTTTTTTTACAAATCCATTCATGACTATTTGATGAATTTTTCTGCTGATAAGATGTATCAAATCGTTTGCCAGGTATAAATTCGTGTACTTGGCTTTATCGGAGACCAAGTATGGGGTTCACTGATATTGTATCGTCTCTTAGACCGACAGCAAGGGTGGGTTTGAGTCTGCAACTGATTGGCTGAACGTCGAAGCCTTTAACTACTGGGCCACTTCTCTTTAGTTGTTTTGTCCAATAATTTTACTCTGATGTTTCAGCAGCTTCCATACTAATTAACGTTTGTTAGCTATTTGATCTGATCAGAAGAAACTCAAATTTATCCGGTTTGTGACATGAAACCGTGGGGCAATGGCTAGTTATGTTAAGTTTATTTCAGTTGGTACATTCATAATTCAGGAACAAAGTTGTTGAAATCATGTGAATAAAATTTTATCTAACATGACTCATTAGAAACTAGTGACAAGAGTACTGTAATTCCCCTGTCTTTTACCGGAATAGGTAATGAAAAAAGTTTTTGAAGATTTTTGAATGTATCCCCTAGAACCGCCTTTACATTATTGTTCTTTCTATTTTTATCCTTATTTCCTTCCCATTTGAGTTATGCAACTAGTTTAGTGCCTTCGATAAAAACTCATCGACTTAAAGTAAGTAGATGAAATAGTTATGTTTGGCGACGACATTAATAAACTCCTCTTTTGATCGCCCTAAACAACAGTGTGAGCATGTTCGCGATATGGTTTTATCTCTATGAATGAAAATGTTTCTTCGACATTGATCTCCACCAAAAATTACTATGACCATAGGCGATGAAGCAGTCGAGAATGTTTAGCACTGCACTTATTTTGCAAGCCTTATCAATTCTGATGAGCTGGTATATAGCGAAGTTTTGGCACACATTTATGAAGCTCATCTAGCTCTTTCTAATTTGTGTCACCTGTTGTGTAAAGGAAATGTCCATCTATTAAGGAAAAGATTAGTATTGTGCCCCTCAGAATGCTCTGTGTTCCTTTACAGTTGGATATAATGGTCTACGAAGGTTTCAGACATACACAAACGGCAAGCATGTGATCGCAGATGTCTTCGAAGTTTTCCTCGTGTTTGGCGGGTCTGCAAAGTAAGCAATGACGAGGTTAGACGTAGGGTGCTTGGTAAAGATTGGACGTTGGTTGATGAGGGTATGAATCTCCATCGACTGAGGTAGTTAATGCTTGCCCAATTATCGCCTGGCTCGACCAAAAATTTAGGTTAATATAATAATTTTATCTCATTGTGTTGATTTAGTGTGGCAAATTGACCAGATGCATTTTTACAACAGGTCGCACATTGATTATGACGGATAGGTATACTAGATCTTTTATCGGTATGCAAAAATTACATAGACTGTTAAAAATAAATAATGTGTTTGTAATATCCCAATGAGTAAAAAAATTAAATTTTCTGACGTTTCGTGACACGAATATTCGTGTTGTTTCGTTGTACTATTTAAACTTGGTTTAATTTTGATTTGATTATTTATTCTCTGAAGAAGTGGTTTACACTGAGTCACGAAACGTCAGAAAATCTAATTTTTCTACTTATTGTAATATTACAAATATATTATTTTATTTATAACAATCTAACCAATGCTCAGTTTATTCGAAATTATCAAGTCAAACCGTGGTAATGATACATGTAGACAGTTAAATTTGCCTAGAAAGCAAGAATGAAAGGGCTATCTTACTTTTGAGTATATTCTTCTGTAATATATTTGACAATCATTTTAATTTTATCCTCCATTTCAATATGAACTTAATTTTACTTTATCATAGGTAATCAATTCGACCTTCCCCACTTAGAATATTTATGCGCCACTGGCTTACTGAACAATGATTCAAAATATGATTCAATAAATAATCCATTGCTAAAGCAACATTCTGCAATAGACATTTTTAATAAAAGAAATCCAATTGTTCTTGATGATTCTTCTTATTCCTTGAATATGGATTCTGCTTTTGGCATTTTTGAAACTAATTCTAAAAGTTTATATTATAATTCGTTTGAAAACTTGTCACACGGTCCTGTTGTTAGTTGTGATAGTTGTAGTAAGTCTTCATCCTCTACTGGAATCGTTAGTAGTTCCTCATCATCATCATCTTCGTCCTCCAATTCATCCTCTTCACGTTTATCTGCATCACCATTTTCGTCTTCTGAAATTAGTGGTTCTATTGATTCAGTGCATTTATCAAGTGAAAAGACCAGTACAAATAACCCGTAAGATGATACGGTTCACTATTATTATTATTATTATTAGCTTTGTTCAATATTATATTTTTGGTACAATATAGAATTTTAAGCAGAATGTATGTCAACAAGTTTCCGTTCCTTACTTCTTGATCGATCCTGACGACAAATATTGAGTGATTGTCCAGTCAATCGACATCTAAATAATGTACATTGTTTTCGCTGCATATTGCTAGCAACCACGATATCTGTGATTGGGCCGTTGTAACTTTTACAACGAAAATTTATACACTTTTCAGAAACGCACCTGAATAAGTTATGCGATTAATAGCCATATTGATGTATTAAAACAAACAAAATCAGATAACATGTTGAAATATCTAGATAGCAGGAACAGGTAGCCCAGATGTTGAAGCAGACCGCCTTTTATTAACTGTTCGTCTGTAATTTTGACTTCTTGAAAATTTGTGTTTTATCATCTGAGTTGTTTGTCAAAAAAAGAATTTTTTAAGTTTTCAGACTTAGTAGTTCTGTTAATAACTACTGTTTATTACAGAAAATTCTCATCTTTTTCCACTTTGAGTTAATCGTGGCTGAAGTGAAGTTGTGATCTAGTTAATAATCAGTCTTTACAATTAAAAGTATCAAATACTCAACATGTGGACTAAAACTGTTCGTCCAAATCCTGGGTAATATTGGTATATACCAGATATAAAATTAAGAACTTATTATTACAATATGATTTGATTTTCTTTATAAAGCTTTCTAACAGAACAAGACTTTCTTATGGTTATTGAGTAGAGAAAATTCAACCTCTGATTGGCTGACCTACTATGTTTAATCTACTTTGTGAAAATGCATTAATATCTATAGTTTACGAGTGGAAAATTTTTAGATTGCTTTGTGAAATGCTGTATCGCCGATTCAAAGTGATTAGTGTTCTGAACTGTTAAAAAAATTGTAAATAGAGTTTTAGCCTTTGAATTACATTTATCTTACTGAATTGAGCTGCCATTACTATGCTGATATAATCTTCATATATATTAAAAAATATCTAGCAATTTTCAGAATCCACAGAATAACTGCTTCTGAAACTTGTGTGCGATCCCAACCATTCACTTCAGTGAGAAAACCGCAGTTGAGTAGGGAGCTTTCATTAACGAACCCGAATCCAAAAACCTATGGACAACCCATTCATACTCCTCAGGAAGTCAACTAATAGCCTATGTCTATTTCCTGAGAGAGTTAAGTCTAATCTTAATCAATAGCGTGTGATCGTCAACACCTCTCACTTATTAGCTGACCTGTATCTGATTAACCCAGTATGTTACATTTCCTCATTTTAATAAATGAAAAACTTGTGTTATTTGATTAACACATACTTGAGTTAGATAAGGACGTCTATAATCTATTATATTTCCGTGTAACAACAATTTACTGTCCGTTTCTTTCAAAAAAAAGTTAGCTGTAATTTAAAAATCAAGTGTTTAAACTTTAGAGTATTATAAGCAGAGATGGATATTGGCTAGCAGTGGAATGTGAATTAAGGTATATCGAGGCAATACGCACAGTATGCACATATGCCAATTAGAGATTGACCAGTTGCAGTCCTAAACACATCGATGGGAAGATCCAAACAAACAATACTAAGTGAATTTAGAGTATTATGTTATCAAAATGTGAATTCGAGCCATGGATTCATATTTTATTGATATCTTTATGCTGAATATCATATTTTTTTTAATTTCAAACATTACTTGCCTTTTTACGTCTTTGGTATGTGGTTGTAACTGAAATCCAGGGCTTATGTGTCCACTTGTTTGTTACTTGTCAGATGGATGTACATGCATCCTAGTGTTAGTGTTTAGACTGATACTCGAGTCTAGTTTCTTTCTAAAAGCTATGTCGAACGATTTTTTAGTAGGTCCTTTTATGGGAACAGAAATTGGTCAGTCGTAGCCCTGCATATTAACAACAAAACACCATTGACTCTTAGTGATATAAGCGTATGTTCCTGTAAAGATTGTTGAATGGTATGGTTTAAGTATATATATATTTTTTAAAAATGACCGAATAATCTGTATTCGTTACAAACATAATATCAAATATCCCATCTCACACAAAAAATTTTAAGTCCCATTTTAAAAGTAGTTTCCTTCTAACCTCTATTTCGATTAACTTCCTCCTTTATCTTACAATTAGGTATATTGATCCGATCCAGTTATTATCTGCAATCACTGGCCATCGAAAAACGTTTTTATCTGAATTATCTAGTAGTCGTCGACGTCGTCTTTTGTCTTCACTTATTCGGGAAGCCAAATCGGTCAATCATACGTTACTTCGTTTAAATAATGAAATGCAAGGTGAACTTGCTGAGTTGAATGATCAGCGAGTTAATTTACGTGCACAACTTCAACATTTGGGGCTACAACCAGCAGTTTGAAGGACAAACTAAACATTTGTCTGAAAATTTACCTTCAAATTTTTAAAAATTTTATTCTTATTAAAAAGTGGACAATGCTAGTAAAATCTGATTTCACATAGGGTTTATATCCGAAGTCTCAAAATGGAAAAATATTATTGAAATTTCGCAGTCAATTTCTGTATCATTGTTTACATAATAATAAGTGCAATGTGGCTATTTCTGTCGTAAATTTGACTTTTAGTTGTTTTTTTTCAGGAACGATCGGTTGTGAACGTTTCTACATAATCATAATCCTCAAAATTAGGTTCTTTTTTATCCAAGTTTTAAATCGTTTGATCATTGCCTAAGGACTATTTTTCGTAGGCAATTTTAATCTCAATATAAACACTGTATTGAGTACAGCTCCACAGGAAAAAAAGACAGTTTTTGTTAGACATTTTGTAAACTCGAAAATGCACCGTACTTCTGACCATAGGAGTTGGTATACTTTTTCTTCGCTTCCTTTTTTTTATTAACTTCATTTCCTTTATTTGTATATTATCTTCGTTGTATCAAGACATTAGTTGAAATTTTACTCAAAATTATGCATGTTCTCCTGATTATTGGTTTATTTCTTCAGTTTTTTCCGTAATGTTTAATGTGGCATAAATACAAAAAACCTTACCCATTCCTATGGCAGTGTGTGAAAAAGTCGTTCTGAATGGCCACAATACGTAAAGATAACTGAAAGTATTAAAGTAGGACGGTTTCAGTGTAAATGTGGTAGAAATTGGTCGGGGACTGGTTGTATATCTCTACCTGATGTCTACTAGAATTTTATTATTGTCATATTCCATTGCCTTAAATCCATGAGTTATTTATCACCACAACAAATAAATAGATACAATTCCCGGCGTGAAATTTAGTATAATTGGGTGGTTTTCCTTCAGGATGCCACTGATACAATTTAGCGAAGGTTTTACTAACGTTAATTACGACAGTATAGTTTCGGTTAGTTATCTCATTATTGAAGTAGAATTCACTAACAAAAGGATGAGCGATCGCAAGATTTGTAATGTTTATATTCAAAAGGTAAATAAGTTTATAATCTATGCAATTTTCATTCAGCAAGAACAAGTATTTCTTATTGTATGAGAAATAACATTTTATCAATGATTGTGTCAATGTGACACCTGTATGCAGCGATAATTTCTTTATACATTACTCCTCATTTATTATGGGTTCCAGATATGATACGTTCATTAGTACTCACGGAGTTCTATCTAGCTTAAATTGGACTACTCTAGGGATTCTTAGCATATCAGTTCCGTTATTTTTAATCGTTATTAGTTAAACAATAGTCCTATCAGTAATGAAGTTATATGAACAACTGTATACAGTTTAGTTCAGTAGTAAAATCAAAAAAGCCTACAGAATAATCATCTTTGAACAATTAATTGAGTGGATCTCGTCACTATCATCTTCCTCGACTATAAAAAAGCACTTGTCAGTGTGGATAGAAGGACCTTCTTCGACCCTATAGTGTATATGAGAAGATCATCTAGAACTCATACAACGAACTACACTGCAAATTCGTGCATGGAGAACAGCTGATTGAAGCATCCCAAGTGAGGACAGTGGTCGGACAAGTGTGCTCGCTTTCTTACTTCTGGTGGTTGACTGAATTATGAAGATCTCGACATCTGGGGGGATGCACGGAATACAATGGACATCTCAAAATCAATTAGACGATTTGGACTTCGCAGATGACCTGCCTTTATTACCACGTACACATTAACAAATGCAGATGAAGACAACTAATGTAGCCGCAGCCTCTGCATCAATAGACCTCAACATACACACGGGTAAAAGCAAGATTCTCAAATACAACACGGAGAACACCAACTCAGTCACACTTGATGAAGAAACTCTAGAAGATGTAGAAACATTCACGTACCTGGAAAGCATCATTGATGAACAAAGAGAATCCGATGCAGATGCAAAGGCGAGGATTGGCAAAGCAACGACCCCATTCCTACAATTGAAGAACATGTGGAACTCAAAACAATTTAACCAGTATCAAAGCGAGGATTTTTAATACAAACGTCAAGACAGCTCTACTGTATGGAACTGAAACGTGGAGAACTGCTACAACCATCGTCAAGATGGTACAAGTATTTATAAATAGTTGTCTGCGCAAAATACTCAACATTCACTGGCCGGATACTATCAGCAACAGCGTTTTATGGGAGAGGACAAACCAGCTTCCAGCTGAAGAGGAAATTAGGAAAAGACGTTGGAAGTGGATAGAACTCACATTGAGGAAATCAAACTGCATTATGGAACAAGCGCCAAGTTAGAATCCTCAAGTGAAACGGGAAAGAAAAAGATCAGAAAACACACTGCGTCGAGAACTGGAAGGAGACATGAAATTGATGAATAACAACTGGAAATGACTGAGTTGGATGGGGAATGCTAATTGGCGGCTCATGCCTCTTTACGAGGGATAACAGGAGTAATTAAGTAGGGAAAGTACAGAAAAATAGGTACTGTCGCAGATATTCAGAACGTGGGAATCGAGTTGAATGGATGTTTATTCTTCCAGACTATTACAAATCTCCAAACAGTCATCTATCTTTCATTAAGCAGTGTAAAATCATGAGATCCAAGAAGTAAAAGCAGACGAAAATGAAGTCAATTTATATTCATTTATTAACAAGACTAATGTCAATCACTAATTTATTCGGTCCGTGTATTTCGAATAACTGCTGTATACATGATTCGAGATATAGGATATAATGTTGTCATAGGTAATTTAAAAGATTTACCCTTATACTATTTTATAAGGCATGGATATAGACGCCAGAGACGTTTTCGTGCACCGGACTTCACAAACATGATTACGGGGAGTGCAAAGTGAAATCTCAGCCATACGTTTTGTGCTGATATTAGCAACAATCTTAACATTGTGATTGAGGAAGCCTATCATATTCAAAACAAGATACTGACTTGGTAACCTCAGCAACTGTAGGTAGGTGGAAGTGGACTAAAATACGTATCTGATATTTCAATATATCACCTCATTTCAGTAGTGTGGACTGAAGAGTTTTGTGTGACAGATTTCTTCATAATTATTTAAGTCATTTCTAGATATTCTGCGTATGTGTTAGTTTTATTTTTATGTCGTCATATGTATGAGATATAATCATATGGGTGGACGTCCTCACCTAATTTCTTATATCTTTCGATGTTAACCAATAATATCGAGTTTTCGGATATATTCTTTTTCCTCGTTCATTATCATACTTGATTTTTTAATATGACGGAACAGACACTCAAAGTACTTAAGTTAAAGACTATATTCACACCTTGTTTCAACTAGTGCCCTTCTTACCATACAACATTGAAGCATGGTTGTGCTATGCAGAATCCGAGTTCTATGAGCACGACATGACTGATCCACGCGCACAATTCGCGGTTGTAAAGGCACTATCGCGCTAATTCAACAGATACGTCACACCTAGTATGTTTATTAGTGATATTTCGGAACCTTACGAAACCCTAAAACGGTCGATTCGGAAACGCGGAGATATAACCGATCGACAACGGTTAGACCAACTCCTTAATAACATGGTTTTGCGACAGACATGTTGCTAAGAATGACAGAGGTGATTTGGTCAAAGAAATTCCAATGATGGTCTATTCAGACAACTTTCCTTGTCTAAACTTCCTCAACAGGTGCAGACAGTACTTGTCTCGTTTCAAAACAACGCCGTAGATGAGCTGGCTGCATCTGTCTACCGCATTCTGAAAATCACGAAATCTTCTAATGCCGAGGTTTTTTCAGCCAAAGAAAAGCCTCAAACGACACAGAATGACATTACAGAACTATGTCATGCACTTACATGTACCTTAGATTTCGTAATGACCGTACTGTAATGACCGTACTGTAATGACATACCCCGCGGAGAAGCACTTTACGTGAGAGATCTGTCTCCAGACCACGAGAGACGGGTAACTCCGAATGGTGCTGGTATTATAACCAGTATGGGAAGTCCCCCAGAAATTTCAGGAAACCCTGCAATTACCCGAACTCAAAATTGACTGACACGAAAAATAATTCGGGAAACTTCCCAGCTGGCAAACATAGCCATCTGTTATACGTTACAGATGTGATAACGAAAGTTCGCTACCTCATCGATGTTAGCACAGAAATTAGCATTCTTGCAGCAAATTCTAACTCCCGGCTTCACGAATCTGTTTTAAACTTCCAGGCAGCAAATGGAAAGCCGATCGCCACATATGGTAAAAGGTACGTTTACCTTAACATAGGTTTATGCAAACCCATTCACTAGATCTTCGTTGTTGCAGATGTTTCTATGCCAATCATTGGTATTCTCATATCCCGATAACAATAGTGAATGGTAACTTCGGGATCCATCTATGAACCAATAATTTGCATATAATTTTTATCGTATATTTGCTAAATAATTAAACTACTCATATTCATGTTTCTTTCATTGTGAGCTTTTTTCTGACCATTGGACTATTATTGTACGATTTACCATTCCTGAGTTATACCCAGTCTATTAATTACTGCTCCTCCTATTGACAGCCACATTTGGCTAACTCTTGTACAAATGTTATTTTCTATTTTATTGGTACGTTGTGGTCAGTCTGTTTCGTATATAAACTCACTCTGTTTGAAACACAAGGATTCATACAACAGAGGCTGTCATTGATGTTTTGGACTTAACTGACTGGGCTAGGCAAAGCCGAATTGATAAGTGCTCTAGACTGATCGTACGGTTTTCGTGTGTCACTTTTCCGATCGATAGTTCCCTGCTCTCTGATTGGCGGTCTTATCAAGTCATACATTAACTAGACATCCACTTGGCCACAAGATATAACAGGTATAGACCTCCTACAACACCACAATTCACTTATTGATACACGCAAACGGAGGCTGGTAGATGGAAACACTAAGTTATCTGTTTGCTTAACTTCCTTTTCTGGTTGCAGATAATCCCCAGTCACGATTAGACACACAATAAACCCATTCTATCAACCATTACTCGATAAGTACTCTGGGATATACCAACCGCAACCGAAATAACCGTTTATAATCAACGATGTTACCCATCACATCACGACCACATAACCGCCTGTATCCTCGAAAGCACGCCGACTGGCTCCCGAAAATCTGAGGTTGGCTAAAAATGAATTTCACTACATGATATAGTTAGGAATCATTCGACCAACAAACAGCCCATGGGCATCTCCCTTGCACATGGTCCCTAAAAAGACAGCAACGATTGGTGTCCAACTGGTGACTATCGGCATTTGAGTACAAAAACCATCCCCGATCGCTACTCGTTGCCTCACATTCATGATTTGACAGCTACCTTGAAGTGGACAACTGTGTTTTCGAAAATCGTTTTGGTTAAAGCCCATGACCAAATCCTTATGACTACTGACGATAGTAAAAATGGCTATCGTCACATCAGGACACTCAAGCGCCTATTAGCATTGCAGTGGACGCATTTGAATCAGGGATCGGAGGAGTCTTACAACGATGTGTTAACCACTCGTGGTGACCTTTGGCATTTTTCTCGAGATGGTTGTTAGACACTGAATCGAGGCACGGCATTTTCGTTTGGGAGCTCGTAGCTATGTATTGTGCTGTGCCGCATTTTCAACACTCCATCGAA